CCCAGAGAGCTAGGATTACAGGCGTGAGCCACCACGCCCGGCCAAAATAACTCTTTTTTTTTAAAAAAAGAATCCTTATTAAAATGATTACAGCAGTTTTTTTCTACCACAACCAGTAGGATCTAAGTATTAAAAAAATAATAACAGCAAATTTAGGAAAAATAGTCTGACAAAATTTCTGGAAGCTTTGCTGGGGCTATTATCAAATCTCCACAATTTTGATGTTGTAAAGATATTTTCTCATTTAATTAATCATCTAATGATTATAGAACACTTTTGACCTCAGCCAAGTGGTTGTGCTATGGTGTTTGTAAAATAATTACATGACACGGCTGATTCAGTAAGTTCAAATCTGATAGAAATCCAACCTATTAGTGAATAAATGAGCATTACATATAATACAATGATGAAGTGGTAGGAATAAATGCAAACCAGACTGAACAGAATCAAAGGACTTGATGTGCTAGAAAATGAGGCAGAAGATGTGAATGTGTATGTACGTACACACACACACACACAAATACACTTTCAATAGGTGATGATTAGAAGGAAGAAAACAAATAGCAGCTAGAAGGGACAGTAGTCAAATGAAGTCGTTTCGATATTTAAGCCTGTCTACAGACAGAAGAGACAGAACCGGTTGAGGATATCTGTTAAAATAACAGAATGGACCTGAATTTAAGACCTTATTCTGTTTCACTAGCTATGTGACTTTAGGCTATGTAAATTCTGGAGCCTTAGTTTCTTCACTGATGATATTGAGAAGATAAAAGCAGTTATGTTCATTTAGCATCTGGCACATAGTAAGTACTCAATAAAAATTATCTATTAGGCATTATTAATAACACATATTTTGTAGTATCAATAAAGAAACTGCATGGATAATACCCAGCACAGTGCTGAACGCTTAGCAAAAACTCTGTATAGAAGCATCATTAGTATATTATTAGCTCTTTAATGGGAAGGATGTCCTTGAAGGAAAGAGTCTGAATATGAAAGGCAGTCAAATTTCACCTCAATTACTAAATACAATTTTTTATTTTTTGAGGCAAGGTCTCACTCCATCACCCAGGCTGGAGTGCAAGTGGCGTCATCGTAGCTCACAGCAGCCTCCAACTTCTGGGCTCAAGAGATTCTCTCGCCTCAGCCTCCCCAGCAGCTACTAAATAAATGTAATTTAAACGTTAAGAAAATTGTATTGGTAATAGAGATGCTGGTATTTTAAACCATATGCTTACGTCAGAGAATAGAATTTGTAAACAGACAAGATGTCAATTTTAGCACAGCATGGCCTTATCAGTCTTTAAACGTTAAATTGCTCTACTTTTAAAAAGCTGAGGTTAGTTGGCCTCCAGTCGTCCTGGGTGTCACATAAGAAGAGAATATTCGTAAATTCTGAGAACTGGGCTAAGGCCATGGCACGGAGATACAGCGGCTCGGAGCGCAACATTCCGCTGCAGGTGTTCTTGGTAAAAGAGCTGTGTTTCACAGGACACAAGGAGAAAGAGGCAGGGCTTAGCCAAAAGGCCACCACCCCCAAGCCCCCAAATAAGGGCAGGCGGGCGGGCCGGGAGGCAGGAGCTCTTCCCCAGGGGCCTCTCCTCCAGGCAGGTGGGCGGGAAGGGCCCGCCCCACCGCGGCTCCTCTGGGGCCACCTGAGGGGACCAGTCTCCACTCCTCTCCCCTCACCACCCACCAGCACGGCCAGCCTCCCCCTGCGCTACAAGCGCCCCGCGCCCCTCGCAGTCCTGCCGCAGGGCCCTCCAGCCCGGAGCCGAAGGAGCTGGAGGGTGTGTGCTCGTCGCCGCCAAGGCACCTGAGGGCATTCACGGGTGGAAGTGCGTGGGACGAGGCCGGGGCGCCCGCGAGGGACCGAGACGCCGCCACCTTCTCACGCAAGGCTGACGGCGGGGTTGGCAGCGACAGGCAACCTGGGACAGGCACAAGGGAAAGTGGAGGTTCTGCTTCGAGGCCCGACCCCGGGTGCTAACAAAGGTACCTGCGAAAACCCGGGCCTGGGTGAGAGGGGGCCGGGCCGACGGCAGTCAGCCTCCGCAGCGCTCAGGCCTCAGACCGTTGCTCGCCACTGGCTCGGCCACTCCGCCGCTCGCACACCTTCCGCCAACCCCTAGCCCGGAGCGCGCGGCCAGCGGGGCCAATCAGCGCGCAGAGCCGGCCGCTGGGGCGGGGCTGGCCGGGAAGCGCGCGCCCGCGCCCCACCCCACCCCCACCCCACTCGTTACCCGCCCGAGCCTTGGCGAGGAGCTGCCTTCTGCGGTTATACTGTCGTGCCCGCCCTCTGGCCCACTGTCCTGGCAAAACTCACACACCCTCCGTCTTTGACCTCTTTCAACCTTGGACACCTCTCAAAGTCCGTTTATATTCCCTCCAACTAGACCCTGGTGAGGCCCTGCAGGGCTGAGGCTTCGGACCCCCGCGTCCCCAGGCACTCCGGCCGCTTCCGGGAAGCGCAGACTTCGGAGCTGATAATGTACCCAGAGTTACAGCGATGTTGAAATCATTGTATAGAAGAGCTCGCTTAAACAAACAAAAAAACGTGTGACTACCGTAGCTTTTTGTGAGGAGCGGGGGTAATATTATTCTGTTGTTGTTACATCTACAGCAAGATTTTTAAATTTTTTCTCGGGGGTCTTGCACAGTCGCCCAGGCTGGAGTGCAGTGACGTCATCATAGTTCACTGCAGCCTTGAACTCCTGGGCTCAAGCGATCCTCACATCTCAGCCTCCAGAGTAGCTGGGGCTACTCGCGCTAAAAATGCCCGCCAATTTTTCTTTTTTGTGTAGATGGGGATGAGGGTGTCTCAGTATGTTGCTCGGGCTGGTCTCGAACTCCTGGCATCAAGTGATCCTCCCGCCTCAGCTTCCCAAAGTGCTAGGATTATAGGTGTGAGCCACCACGCCCAGCTAGGAATCTTTTTGGCTTCATCTTAGCACTTGGCCAGGTGCCTGGGATGTAGTACAGAGGTGCTTAATAAATGCTTGCTGAATGAATAAAAAGGATTCTTCACAGCTTTTTATTTTTTCCCCGACACTCTTTCCTCTTCACCCCTTCTATCTAATGTATAACCTGCTTTTCTTTCTGTTAGCATATCACGACTTTTCCTGTTGTTACAGCCTTTCTAAACATTTTCGATGACTACATAACATTCCAGAGTGGATAGACCATATTTAAATCATTTTGATATTTGGATTGCTTTCAGATTTTTTGGCTACTATCATGATAACACTTGAAAAGCAATTTGGCCTTGCCTATTTGTACTTCCCAGCAATTAGTTCCTTAATCAGCAACTCCGTGGAGTTCCCTTCTTTCCTTGACTCCCACACAGAAAGGTAGTGGCGAAATCACCTACCAATAAAAGAGGGGGCAATCTGGGAACTAAATTTTTTCTTACGAATGCCTTTGACTCTTCCTCTGTGGCTCTTAAATGGGGGAATAGGGGAAGAAGCATCAACTGGTTGTGAAAATGTTCAGGCTGCTTCAAGCTTTATTCCTTTGGCTTTTCCTGAGGATCCTTCCTGATTTCTCCCCCTCCCTGTCTATTTTGCAAGTTGTCAGGGTTTCCTGTGATCACTAATTTCCAGCTTTGAGTATATTTACTGAACAATTAATGTCCACTACATGGAAAGTACTTAGAAAACAGGAGGCAAGAAAAGTAGCACAATGATGAATACAACATGGCATTACCCTTCTAGAACTTTCTAAGACAGACACTGACACAAATAACTGAACAAGGCACAGTGAGTTCTGCCATGGGGAAAATGCATATAGCCATACAACGCAAAGGAAAAGTAGCTAAGAGAAGATATTCCTTAGGATCCCACAATCTGCACAAAGGAATTTGTATTATGTAAAATTGGCATATAAAAGTCAGCAAATACACATAATGTTCAGAAAATTACTAGGGAAGCAGCTTATTGGTTAAGTTTCAGTTTCAAGTTAAAGGTTACTACCAGTGAGGCCTTCATGAGTGTTCTCATTCCTGAGTCTTTTTACTGAGAACTAAAATAAAATCCTAAGCCTCTGCTGACTGAATGGACACCTTCTTGGTCAAGGGGACCCCAGAGAAACCTTAAAGCTGAGTTCCCAGCCATGACAGGTTGGGAGGTCAGACAGGTCTCTTTATACCCCCTCCCTTGCTAACGGCCATCAGGCTTTTTTCTTTAAGGACTAAACCCAAAACCAATCTCATCATCTGATATACCCTCCTTATTTTTCAAATAAGAGACCACCAACCATGGAGTGGTTTTAACCAATCTATGGAGCACGCAGAGAGGGTTTTCATGTCCTCTGCTTTACCTTTTGACACCAGAGGGCAGCTACTTTCTGAATATGGACCACGTAAAGGGGCCTAAACCTTGACTGCGAATGCCTGTTTCTCATTATAAATTTCCATTCCCATTGTCCCTGCCTTGAAGCACAGGTCCCTGGCTTCTGGCCAGGGCTCTGTTTTCCAGCCTGTTGAAATGGCCACCCACAGGCTGCATGCAACCCTTTATGAGAAATAAAGCTCTCCTTTTCAAATTTACGAACCTTGTCATTTTCTTCAGTTAACATTACTGTTGGTGTGTAGAGAGAGCAGGTGAAGGTACTTTAGAATCACAGACCTGTTTGCATTCAGGCACTACCATTTTATTAGCTGTATGAACGTGCTCAAATGGGTCTGTCAGGTACTAGCTGCAAAATGTTCCTTCAAGTAACTGAACACTTTGACTTCTTATACTTACCAACATTTTACAAAATAAGGACCAGAGTTTTGGCAATGAACCATTTATTTTGGCAGTATATTTCCCCTGAGACTACTCCAGCATTCTTGCCGTAAGAAACAAAAGCAGTTACATCAGGATAAATAACTGGAACTGTATTTTTTGTGGCAAATTTCTTCAAAAGGTCAAGGTGTCAAAATAGTAATACAAGTAGTCATTTTTGAAACTGACTTGCCATTTATTAAACAAATATTGGCATGCCTGTTATGTGTCAGGCACCACTCTAGGATGAGAAGATATTACAACATCAGTGAACAAAAGAGAAAAAAATCCCTGCCCATAAGAGCTTACATTCTAGTGACACGAGACTGATCTAGACCTAAAGACTGTTAGGGCCAAATATAACAAAGTTTTGAAAGAACATCCAACATCCTATTGGATCTAAGGAATAACTGATGCTCTATTAAAGATGGAATGGATTACAATTTGTGTTAATCGGTCCGTGAGCATACCCACAGTCTAGGGAACTCACTTGTTAGAAGATTAGGGTATTCCACTCAAAACAAGTTCTACAGAACAGTAACAAAGATTTTTTTTTTGAGGCAGAATCTTGCTCTGTTGCCAAGGCTATAGTGCAGCGGTGTCATCACAGCTCACTGCAACCTCGAACTCCTGGGCTCCAAGTGATCCTCCTGCTTCAGCCTCCCAAGTAGCTGGGACCATAGGCGCGCACCATCATGCCCAGCTAATTTTCTGTTTTTTGTAGAGACAGGGTCTCACTGTTGCTAAGGCTGGTCTCAAACTCCTGACCTCAAGCGATCCTCCTGCCGTCTCTGCCTCCCGGTGCTAGGATTATAGGCATGAACCACTGCACTTGGCCAGTAACAGATTTTAACCACATCTTTGGTATGATTAATTAATTGAATTAATTTCAGTGGAGTTACCAGGCTTTAGTCAGAGATGGGCTACAAAACCTGTGACAATTATCCTGGGAGACAGATTTGTGTTCCTAAAACAACTTACTGAAGTCATATACCATGTAAGTTGTATGTGCTGAGATTTGGACCCTGGGCCTCACACAAGATTTTCTAAAGTAGCTTATTAATTTTTAATTTGGTAAATTGAGTAGTTTCATGAGTTCTATGAAACATAAGATTTCTCAAATGACTAGACCCTTCACATTCACCTTCTCAGGAATCCTTATTAAACTAAGAGTTAGACAAAGTTCATGTTTAACTAAGAATAGTAGACAGATGTCAGTTTGTCAGTACCTGGTGGTAAGTGCCAGCATTGTCAGATGCTGTGCCAATTACAAGTTTGAAAGTTATATATTGGAGGTTGCCTAACATAAAAAGCTTCAATAATCCAGTTTTGTTTCCTCAGCTCTTTTTCAAACAATGTACTGGGATGTTTAAGACTTACTTCAAAATTAGTTCAGGCCGGGCGGGGTGGCTCACGCCTGTAATCCTAGCTCTCTGGGAGGCCAAGGCGGGCGGATTGTTTGAGCTCAGGAGTTCGAGACCAGCCTGAGCAAGAGCGAGACCCCTGTCTCTACTAAAAAAAATAGAAAGAAATTATCTGGACAACTAAAAAATATATAGAAAAAATTAGCCAGGCATGGTGGTGCGTGCCTGTAGTCCCAGCTACTCGGGAGGCCGAGGCAGTAGGATCGCTTGAGCCCAGGAGTTTGAGGTTGCTATGAGCTAGGATGACGCCATGGCACTCTAGCCCAGGCAACACAGTGAGACTCTGTCTCATAAAAAAAAAAAAAAAAAAAATTAGTTCAAAGTAAACTTGTTACATAAGGCTCCTCTAGACAAATTTTTTCCTGTTATATTTTTTGTCTTTGTGACTTTGTCAATAAATGTTTATATATGACAGACCATAAACTACTGTCTTTTAATAAATTTGTACAATAATCTGTGAATGTTCCAGATGTTATGCTGTGATGTCACTGCTTTGGGGGGAAGAATTTTGGCCTGTAAATCTATTGAATTACTCAGATGAGGCAGCTGTAAAAATTAATACACATCTTATTTGGTGATCACAGGGCAGGCTTGATTGAAAGACTCAGGAACAGACCTTAGATTCCTACCTTTTTAAAAGGGATGCTGAACCTATGAGCCTCAGACAGCCTGTGTTCTCTAACTGTCTCTCACGCACAGAGCCTCCTCACTCCCACCCCAACACCCCAGCTCACTTGCAATCTTCCACCCTATAGGTACCCAAAACAATGTGGTGTTACAAGTAAGATTTTATAACAGCATTAGCTGGCAAAGATCCCTAAGAGGAAAGCAGCAAAGCAATGATTTATAGTCATTTTTGTAAAACTAAGATTTAATAAAACACTGGCAACATGAA